CATTTTTTGCATGAAAAAGAGAGTGCTTCCTCTGAAGTGAAAAAGATGAATGCTTGCCTTTGCTAGGACATTTAATTGAGTATCTCAGCTACTCACAAGCATGTTGGAAGTTGAATCCCACAAAAGGCACTTCTGCAGCAGTTAAAGGCTGGTGCAGGTTCCTCTTATAGGTGCTCTGTCAGTCCAGCTACCCACACCACTGCCACCAACCATACAGCCAAGCCAGATGTCTCTGCATCAGGCCTTGATTTCCTTGTCCTTTGCTATTCAGCTCATAGTATTGTTCTGTTTCAGCCCGCAGAGGAAAAGGAGCAGCTACTCCAGAATGATGAGTATCAAGAAAAAATGGTGGAGTCTACCTTCATGTACCTGACCCTGGACCTCCCCACTGCCCCCCTCTACAAGGATGAGAAGGAGCAGCTCATAATTCCACAAGTGCCGCTTTTCAACATATTGGCCAAGTTTAACGGAATAATGGAAAAGGTAATTCCTCTACTTTGCCATCTGTTTAGTAAGTTGTACTGGAATGGGCTCTAGAAGTCCCAACTGGGATTAAAAGCCATGGACGTGGTACCTCCAAGAACGGCCTCTTTTGTCTGGCAGCAACAGCAGTAGTGTTGGCCAATCTCAGTTGACTTGGTTCTTCGAAGTCATGCAACCCACAAGCCTTCCCTGGAGTACATGTCACCAGTTTTCCTGATTGCCTGGGAAGGAAAGAGCCTGATCCGCAGGAGTGTGCTTTCTCTATCCAAACAGATTGGTCAAGGATTCTTGATTCAAAGGGCTTCATTCTCTTTGCTGGATAGAGAAGATCTCTTCTCCTCCTCTTCCTCCTCCTCGAGAAAGAGAGCAGATGAGCATTGGGCATAGGTCACACTGGCTGCTAACTCTGGCTCCTATGTCCCCACCCACTGCTGCATGTGGTCCTTTGGGTCCCAACTAGGCCTCTTCTAAACAGGGTATGGATTGACTGAAGGGAGCCTCTTTGACACTGGTGAGTGCAGCACAAAAGGTGGCCACATAAGAAACCCGCATCTGCTCCCCTTCTCCCCCATTAACATCCCATGGGTGAGTTCATGATGGTCCTGTGATAAAACACACATAAATGGCTATATTGAAAAGAGGCATAAGCTGGAGGTTATGTAGCTTATTGTTGGCATAAATGAACTAAGGAAAGCTGGTTTCAGAGAAAGTGTGTCTAAAGTTGTGCTTTAGCCAAAGGTGTCTTGGCAAATCTGTCCCTGCCTAAACCTGGTTGCTCAGCTCTGGCTGAGGAAGGGTGCCAGCCAGCCCTGCTAGATGAGGGAAGAACCCAGTGCTGCCCTGCCTGGCTCAGCTTCTTGAGAAAGAGTTTCTTTTTGCCCTTCAGGAATATAAAACATACAAAGAGAACTTCCTAAAGCGCTTCCAGCTCACCAAGCTCCCTCCTTACCTCATTTTCTGTATCAAGAGGTTCACCAAGAACAACTTCTTTGTGGAAAAGAATCCCACCATTGTCAACTTTCCCATCACGTATGTATGACTGTTCTCCATAAGGAGCAGCTCTGCCTTAGCAAAGGGCTGGGCTGGCCTCTGCCCGAATTTGTCCTTCATCTCGTGAAAGTCTGGAGGCTAATGCTGGGATTTGAAAAGCCAGATGGCATGCAAATCACTCCTTACAGCAACCATCACATATTCCAGATCTGTCCCTCTAGAATACCAGCTTTCCAAAGCAGGAGAACATTGTTGTAAGAGGTGTGAGAGGTCCTGGTATCTGCCAGCAAGGTCTAGGCTCTTACTAGGGAACTTTGTAGGCCCTTTGGAGAGGATGTCAGTCAGCAGGATCCTTTTGTAGTGTCCTACTTCCTGCTACTTTGACCCAGTCAAAGTGAATGCTACCTCCAGGAACTTCAGATGCATTCTTTTTCCAGGTCATAGGACTGCATTTTGTTGTAGCTGTGAGAAATCACAAACACCAAAGCCTTTGTGAGCTTTGGAAGGCCAGTGGCAGAGAGTTCCATTTTGGCTTAGCATAAACTTGTCAGAAGCAGTCCTCCCCCCTGAAGCTGCTTCCACTCCTCTGCAAAGCCACAAGAGAAGGGAATCCCTCCGTGAGTCCCCAGTCAGGGCCTTTGCAGTTGGTGAGAGACCTGAGCCGCAGAGCCTTGACGGCGTCTTTTCTGCTGTAGGAACGTAGATCTCCGAGAATACCTCTCTGAAGAAGTGCAGGCTGTGCATAAGAACACAATCTACGACCTCATCGCAAACATTGTGCATGATGGTAAACCTGCTGAAGGAGCCTACCGGATTCACGTCTTGCATCATGTGAGTTTTTGGCTTCCCAAAAGGATTGCTCTCCTCCGTATTCTGTCAGCTCCTGGCTCGGGTCCCTTGCCTTCAGCCCTTGGCCTTGGGAATAAAACGCCACTGGGCGTGGATTCACCCCTGGTGGCTCCCTCTTGTCCTTGGAGACCAGGCCTCTGGTGATACCTTCTGACTTCGATGTGATTCTTGCAGGGCACAGGCAAGTGGTATGAGTTGCAGGACTTGCAGGTGACAGATATCCTCCCCCAGATGATCACGCTGTCTGAGGCTTACATCCAGGTGAGTGTTTGGTGTTTCTGCTGCTGCCCCTGAAAACCATGGGGGAAGTCAGGGCCAGCAGGGATATGAAAAGACCGCAGGGGCTGTGGGGGCTTCCCAAAGTTGCACAGAAAAGACTAGTAGTGTGTACTCCCTTCTTAATATGAGTTGGCTTTATTTCTGTAGATCTGGAAAAGGAGAGAAAACCAAGAAGAGAGCCACCAGCAAGGAACATGAAAAAGGAACAGGCCCAGCTAGAGGTTGGAGCGTTGCTGCAGATGGAGGGTTCCAAACACGGGTTGCCTGGGCTGTTCTGGGAAGCTGGTGAACCTTTAGAAACCGTGTCCAGTTTTGTTTCTCTGTCAGTGGAGGTTCCTTACTGGCACTTCGGCCTTGATGCAGGAGCAGCAGCAGCAGCAGCAGCAAGTAGGCTGGTCTTCACTCCTCTGGGCACCACTAATGCAATCCTGTTTCATCCTCCACTTGGAGAAGGTCTTGTGGGGGGGATGGACATTTCTGCTCCTCTCTCTGCATTAAACTTTTTTTTTCCTAAATGTTTATTTTTCCTAACGTTGCTGTTTTCCTGTTCTCTTCTTCCCTCGTGCCCCCAAAAACACTTGCTTCAAACAAGGCAAGCATCCCACCCAGAGGGGGTATGTGTTAGGGACTTTCACATTATTCAGATGCTGCTTTTGGTAATAAAGGAACAAGCACGCACACGCTCAGCAGGAACAGGTTCTTTAAGGATATGCAGAAACAAAAATCTAAACAGCAACAAAATGTATTGTTAAAAAGAGCTCCATGTGTTCATGCTATATTCACCTCACATACCCACAGACAAGCCCTCTATATCAGGTTGATCAGGCACTGCCAAAGGGGAATGGGAACCATCAGGTGTAGATCACACAAGATGGACAGAGGGATGAGGAGGCTCTGGGCCTTTCAGAACCTCGGCTACTTTGCAGTCTGTATGGCTGGGCAGACGTCTGCTGTTGACTCCCAGCCAGGAGAAGGGAAAATTGTTTTGGCAACCTTGGCTTTCTGCCCAGAAATTCTGAGATGTTACATAAGCCTTCTCTGAATATGTCACCCAGCAGCGGCTCTGATGAAACCCCTCTTCCCCACCGTCATGCCTGCACTGCACAACATTGGTTTTCAAACTTTGTATGTATGTATGTATGTAACCACACTCTTTGGATCCTGTTCAGGCATTGAGGTTTCTGCTTTTCCTGTTTGTTACTCTCCTAAGCCAGGGCTGCACAACCTTTTCCAGGACCAGACTTGGATTTTGAGCAGTGCACTGGAGATCCTGTGAGCCAGGATCAGAACAGAAAGAAAAAAGAAATTTAAAAAATACTGCTAAGGAGACCAATGTTCAAGTCTCCACTGAACCCTGCTGCTCACTGGATGATGTTGGGCCAGTACTTCTCTGTGTGTACTTTTCTATCAGAGAAAGCCAGGGGAAAAAGCCTCCTTGTGCTCCAGTTGCAAAATGTGACCCTCAAGCCCACTGTTTCCTATCAGGAGAATAATACACCCCTATTGGAAGACCCACACTGGTTGCTTATTGTTCTCTGGCTTAATTTAAGGGGACGGTTTTAATGTTTCCTACCCTAAATTATTTGAAGAACTGCGTATCCCAAGGTTGACCATGCCTGAACAGTGAGGTCAGCGGGGTGTGTGTGTGTTTTTAAAGATTTTCTGGAGTCGATTCAACTAGCACTTGGGAGGGTCTGGATAGTTAGCTACCATGAATGTTCTTTGGGTAGAAATGGTTATAAATCAAATAAATGACATATAATAATTGTGCCCTGCCTTCTCAGGGAAGGGGTGGGATATAAAATAATAAAATCAATACATTATATTCATTGTTAAATCATTTTCCCTTTCTGCCACATTTAATATTCTTTGGTGACTTCTGAGGGCCTTTGAGAGCTACATCTAGTTTGGAGTATTAAATTATGCCCCTGCCTGAGCCATGCGATGCCTCTGGGCCCTATTTCCTCAACATTGTTTTCTAGGGCTAGGCAATGCTTCAGCATCAATTTGGAAGAAGTGCTTTGGAATGTCCCCACAAGGGAATTCTTGGGGGCTGGGAAAGAAAAGGGTGTTTTTCCAAGCCTGGCAAATGAGGAGCAGATGGGCATTTCAGCCTTATTTCCTCAGCAAAGGGTCAGTCCATCAGGGCATCTCTGAGAGAGAAATTCCAACAGCTTGCAGTATATTAGTACTTACTAATACATGAAGGCTCTGGTGTTTTTGCTTAGTTTCCAGGGTTCTGTAAGCTAATCCCTTTTTCTTGGCAATAACCTGATTCATGAGACACTGGAAATCTTCCTTCCTTGGTTGTGTGTGCTGGTGTTAGGGGCTTGGCAGTGCTGAAGCACTTCTCTGAGGTTCATTACAGTAGCTGTGTGATTCTAGAAAAAGACACAGCTCCTTTAATGAGTCAGAGTGGTGCTTGGCTCATACTCCTGCATGTTCCAAATTGATTCCAAGCCATTGCCCAGCCTTGCCGTTTTCTGCCCCACCCCCCACCCCCAAGATTTCTAATAGTAGCATGGTAGAATTTTCAATGGCATTGAAGCCTCAAGAGTTCTCATGTTTTAAAAGTAAGATATAGACTTGGTCTTAATTTTTTGGTTTTTGTACTCTGTCATCCTGCACTCTGTTGTTGTTGTTGTTTAGTCGTTAAGTCGTGTCCGACTCTTCGTGACCCCATGAACCACATCGCGCCAGGCCTTCCTGTCCTTTGTTGTTGTTGTTGTTTAGTCGTTAAGTCGTGTCCGACTCTTCGTGACCCCATGAACCACATCGCGCCAGGCCTTCCTGTCCTTTGTTGTTGTTGTTGTTTAGTCGTTAAGTCGTGTCCGACTCTTCGTGACCCCATGAACCACATCGCGCCAGGCCTTCCTGTCCTTCACTGCCTCCCTGAGTTTGCTCAGTTTCATGCTCATTGCTTCACTGATGCTATCTAACCATCTCATCCTCTGCCGAGTTAGCTTGCACAAGGAAAACACTTTATCAGTGTGATCTGGAGGTTAATTTTAATAGCCGAGAGAGTAAGATTCTTTTCTTCATCAGCAGACAAGGTGAGAGAAGCAGGGCTGTCCTGCCTTGAGCAGGACCCCCATCGCTTGGCTACAGCCACACGTGGTCCTGGCAGTGCTGTACAGCCTAGAGGAGGATGAGAGGGGGAGGAATCAGATTCTGGCTCCAAATGAGGGATACACATCCCCGTGAGCCCCTGCAACTTTCTGGGATAAGCCATACAGAAAGAGTGTAACAGCTAAGCTAGTTTAAAATTCATCCACTTGGAGAAAAGAGCTGCAGAGGCCCATTCCCAATTCTGCACTCACTGAATTGCTGGGACTGAGATAGCACCGGTGAACTGGCAGCTGTTGGCCATGGAGACCTGAGCAATGACCAAAGCCAGCTTTGAGAGCCGCAGCTTTCAAATGTTGCAGGGACACCTGGGAGGAAGAGGCTGTATGTGCAGGTGTATGTGCCCACAGTCCTCACCTTGCACTGCTTGGCTGTACTCAAGCTGGAGCACCAGTAGGTGGGTCCCTGGGCACAGGCAGTGGCTCTTGGAAAAGGCTTCTCGGCCCTGCAGGCACCCAGTTCCTGTGGAGGGAACAAGGGGAAGTGAACAACTAGGGAGACCACATTTGTGTAACCTGTTTGGATAGGAAGTTCACCTGTTCTTCCCTCCTTGACCCAAGAGGAAGGGGGGAAAGTCTGACTTCACTGGCAAGTCTCTTGTTTTTTGTAAGTATCTGTTATTCAGCAGCTGTTTTAAAGCCTTCTGTCCTAACTCTTCCTTTCTCCTTGCAAGCCACTTTCTTGTTCTCTTTCTTTAATCTGGAGAGAAAAGTGGTGCTCAGGTTAAATGCCTGTTTCTTTTAAAACCTCTTGGATGGACAAGTCCACCTAACAGCAGCGCAAGACCCCTTTTAACCAGAATAGATGGGCCTTAACTCCCTTTTCTAATGATTGCGTGCTTGGCTGCTTTTTCCTCATGCTGAATCCCAAAGAGATCTTTCCCCAAGAGAGGCAGCAACGTCTCCCCCTTCTTAAAATCCTTTGTACGTTTACACCCTTTTCCTCAACTGCCTTTGCTCCTCCAACCCAGAATATGGGGCTTGGATTGTAAACACCTGATCCAGGAGTCTTCTCAGGGAAAGTTCTGCAGAGGGCACAGCCTGTGGTTTAATTCCAAGTGCTCTGCCTCTTAGAATTAGTCCGAACAGCAAATATCAGTTGGCTGTTCTTGAAAAGCTACCTGGCCTCCTGGTTCTTCATACCTGGCAGGTAGTTTGGGAGTCCTGCAGCTTCATAAGCAGTGCAAGCAGGCTTGGCTGGTGCTGATAGATGAAGTGGTTGCACTGCAAAAGAAGAGTTGGGGGAGCAGGGAGAGGAGACAGAAATGCATCTTCCAGGCCACTGGAATTCACATCCCAAGACCCACAATCTGAGCAGGGGCGTGCAGGTGAAGGGGATGACACAACCCTGCACTGTCAACTGAGGCAGGGCCAAGGCCAAAGAGGGGTCCTCTCTGGTTTATGAAGGCAACCTGTCAGCATAGTCAAGGCTCCATTTTTCCTAAGCGACCCTTGAACTATTAGGCGTAAAAATGACTGCTCTTGCCTATCATAAATGCTGGGAACTTACTTGTAATATATGCTTCACCTCTGGTCCCTTTTCAAGCCCTCCCATTCCTCTACCAATGGGAAATGCCTTTTCCATAGCCATCATGCTATTCCCTTTCAGGATAAGCAGCATTATGCGGAGCACAAGAAATAATAAGGCAAAGAAATTAAAAGCAGGTATCAGGAAAAACTAACAGACATACTTAAAACTGTCCATCCTTGATACTACCACGTCCAGATGGTGTTTCATACATTGTCTTTGACTTTTTTTAAAGTCACCTCTCTGAGGATCTCATCTCCTCCATTGAGGAACCATTTCCTCAGTTTTCTTCTTTGCTGATGTCCTCATCCTTCATACATTAGTTTTGCAGTTTGATTCTCTTCATAGGACTAGCCACCTCTACGTTCTTTCAGACTGGTCATTGTCCCCTTTTGTATTCAGTTCACATTTATTCCTGACCCATTTTTCCCTGTTCCATTGCAGAATTGCATTCCCTTTCCGTTCAGGTTTCTCCAAACACCCAGCTCTCCTTCCAGCTGTCTAAGCAAGCAGAAGCTTCTTTTCACTTCTTTTGACAAACGCTCATTCCTTACCACATTCTGCTTACTATCTTTTGACTGGCATTGGCACATCTTAAGATTTCTTCATTCCATTTTTAGTAAACATTCTATGAAGATATGCAAATTTACAGTGGGGCAAAAAAGTATTTAGTCAGCCACCAATTGTGCAAGTTCTCCCACTTAAAAAG